AAATGGCCGTTGTGCGGGTGATTGTCTTGTACAGGTGGCTGTTAGGGCAGAAATATTCTCAACTTCCGGGAAACATACAGTGCTAGCAGCTGATCAAGTGCTCAAGCACTGACAAACTGATAAGATCTTTCGGCGGCTATAGCGGGGTACCTAATCCCACCTGGGTGAAGTGAGAAAAATTCATGTGAAGTGCCTTTCCCCAAGAATACAACGTTGAGCCTGTGAAATGATTCGAACCCACGACCTTATGGTTAAGAGTCTGAGAGCCTAACCATTAGACCACTAACGCAACACATTTGTTTGTGCATTCCTCAGACAATAAGTTACGGCCTGGTCAACTGGAAGAGTGTGCTTCCTACTCCTGCCTGGGTAGACAGCAATATCCCTGAGGTGAGGAAAACTGACTTTTGTGTAAAAATAATGATAATAATAATAATAATCTTAATAATAATAATAATCATAATAATGATGACAATAATTTAGATAATGATAATAATAATAATAATCTTAATAATAATAATAATCATAATAATGATGACAATAATTTAGATAATAATAATAATAATAATGATAATAATAATAAAAACAACTATAAATTAGATAATAATAATAATAATAATAAGAATAACAATAATAATAATCGATTGATATAGTGCATTTCAACCAAGAAAGTGCCCAGTGCACTTTACAATAATACAAATTAGATAGTTCCTCCAATAATGATCCTTTCACACCCCCCCACCCCCTCCCCTTTTCACTCCCTCCCTATTACAGGAGGTCTTGATAAAAAAAATTGAAAAAAAAGTTCGTTTTTACAGCCCAAAAGACGCTCCTTCTCTGAACTTTTCTTTATTGTCTTGTCGTGTCATTTTTGTATTTGTTGGCTGCATTACTTTTTGTGCTAAATCTGTGCTGTGTGTTTTCCCTCAGATTGTGAAGAAGTATGCGTTTTACCGACCTCCGAGGGGAGAGGAAGGGGAACTTGACCCTTCCATAGATCTGCAGACAATGAGGTGAGTGGGGAATGGAGTAAATATGTTGTTGCATTTGTGCAATATTGGTCTGATTGTGAGGTCTGCTTTGTTTCTTGTTTTGATTTTTCAATAGGCTCTCTAGTTTTTCATTTATGTTGCGGGGGGGATTGGACGGAGGGAG